TCTTTAATTTTATTTGTATGTGTTTGTTTTTTCTAATACTGACACATTAAACAACCAAAATCTTTTTTTTTTTTTTTTTGGAAAAATGAATAACGGGCCTGGGCAAGCTGGGCGACCGCCCCGAGCCCCCAAATGCCAAATGACCCCCATTTTAAATTTCTTATATTAATTTTATAGCAGTAGCCCATTAGGTTTTAGCTTATTTGACCGGTTATTGAAGCCCAATGTGCCAACCCAAACAGGAAGCGGGAGGAATGAGCGATCGCTACTGGTGTGCGAGACTGGTGTGTGAGAGATGAGTGATGTCCGACTTCCAAGGCAAATTAAATCTTCAACGATCAATTTCCATGGAAAATCCAAACGTTTTCTCCGGAATCGATAAGGTAAGCAACGGTCAGAACTCAAATTTGTTCTATTTCTTTTTCAATTTCTGTTGAATCGATCTCGATCTCTGATTTCTTCTCCGATTCTCCATCTTTTCTGATTTCTGATTTAGGGTATCTGATTCTCAAATCGACATTCAAAATTAGATTATTTGCTTCTTGGTTTCAGTTTTCACGATTCCTGATTATTGCCCTTCTATTTTTTGATTTCCAAGTTTCATTTTTTTTCTGGAAAGACTGGAATAGCACCAGACCACTGAAATTCTGAGAATTGCTAGTCACAGACGAAGTCGCATTAGCGTCTGAGACTCTGAGCATTCCAACCGAAATCGTTGGTTGTGAATTTGTGATTTGTGAAATTTCTTATGTTTCTGTAAGTTATACTTTCTAGCCTTGAATTGAAATTTCTTACTATTCTGTGAATCTGTGATATAATGATATTCTATTCTTTTATGAATCTTTTTTGATCTTCAGAATTTTATGTTGTGTAAGAATCAGAGAATCCAACTTATCCAAATCCAAGTTTATGACCTTCTGATTGAGTGATTATGAATCCGTGTAACTCTCACTCTAAGTGGCCTCTCGATTTTTTTAGAGTTAATTTGTTACTCATTTGTTTAATTTCAGTTTTTGAATGTAAGAATGTTCATCATTTTAATATGACTTCCGTTTTTTTTTAACTTCATAATTTTCTGTTGTGACTTGGAGCTTTTTCAGTTGGCATTTGGCAAGTGCTTAGAAGTTATTTACAAGCTCACAACATTAGCATCAAAGGCAGCCAACAACAGGTGGTACAAAAGAACTTTTTTTTTTATTTGTTAAGCTGTTTGTTTTTTGTTAGGCTCACAACATTAGCATCACATGCAGCCAACAACAGGAGGTACAAGAGAACTCTTTTTATTTATTTGTTAATTTGTTTGTTTCTTGTTATCTGTTTACTGGTTGCCTTTTATCACTTATTTATGTAGTTTTTCTTTGTTATGTTTATGTATTAGGGTTCGTGCTCTGGCCTTTTTATTTTGTCGTTTTGTATTAATAGATGGTAGGTTGTTTGGCATCCGGGGTCTATCCCGAAGTTTTTTCTTTACATAGGTGAGGAGTCCCTAGCCTTCAATTGTATTATTTTTTTTAATTAATAAATTTTTCTGGAGGTGCCACACTCCTTTACAAAAAAAAAAATTATAAGGGCTCCAAATTTTTTTTTCCCCCGGGCCCCAAATTGTCTAGGACCGGACCCTGTTAAAAGTGATAAAATATTACTTCGATGTTGTAATCGAGGTTTGATATACCATAAGACAATGATATACCATAAGACAACCTCGTTTTGCAAAGTTATGCATTGATTGTTTGATGGAGAATAAGAAGTTTCGAACAAATGATATTGACCGATTCGATGAGAATAATGTTAATTATTTTAATATATTGAATTATTGATTATTATAAGATAACATATAAAAAGTATACAAAAGACATTTTTATTAACTGGCCACAAAACTTCGATTAATATCGACCCTTCCAAGTAACATGGGGGTGGTCGGTGCAGTGGACACTTCGATTAATATCGACCCGCCATATTTCCCATGAGTTGCTCGTTTGATGATCGCAAAAGGGCTTTTGATTTCAAAATATTTATAAAAATCAATTAAAGTATTTAGACTTTTCGAGGCATATTAGTTATAAAGGCACCAAACTATCAAATAATATTTATATACACGACATTTACACAAAATAATATAAACAATGGTTAATATTGTGTTTGGAAAAGGTGAATTCTCTGGTGTCTTTTATTACATCGAAAAAGAAACTGTGAAATAGTTTTTGGACCTGTTAGGTATAACATGTTATCAAATTCCAAAATTTCTATTTTTCATTAGAATTTTAATTTGGATTTTGATCTTAAAATTTTACCCTAAAATTAAAATTTTTATAAAATTTTGAATACCTTTCTAAATACAACCAACTTACAACTTTTTAAAAATTTTAAAAATTTTATTTTACCGTTTTTCCAAAAAGTCAAAAACATTATTAAAAAAATTGGTCACCATCGTTGACGGAACAATCTAAAACCAAAATCACGCAGTGATAGTAATAATAAAATTATTAAAATATATTTTTGTCAAAATACTGCGTTTTACACAAATAGACAATATCGATACTTTCAAACTCCACTGCATCGAGAACATCATCTCCCCACCGCCGATCTTTCCCAAGACACAATCTTCACGGTTGGATCAAATACTCGATTGCAAATACAATACACCCGCGAAGCACTCGAACGCTCCTCCATAATCGAATCCCTCGCAGTCGCAGGTCAATCCCCAATTATATATACTGCTCCATTGAGCATTACGAGATCGTCACTTGGCTTCGCACCATATCTCCTCGTTATTCTCTCCGAGCATTCAGCAGATCGCTGAGGTATTCTCTCTTCCCTTTTCACATTGCATTTTCTCCGCCGTTTCGCCGCCGGTATGATCGGTTTTTTGTCTCAAAAAGTATTGTTAGGTTCATACAGAAATGCTAGATGTTAATTTCGCAAAATTTTTATGCTATTTTCTACATGCTGTTCTAGATCTCCTGTGTAGTTTGTTATTTGTACTTTGCTTTTCTAAAATAGATCTGCCTTGGTAGATGTATTCGATGTGCATCTGTTAGTTGATTTATCATTCGTATTGTTTCGATACTTGGTTCAAGGTCTATTCATGTTTACTTATAGTTGATTCATATTGTTTCGATGCTTAGCGTTAGATCTGTTCGTATATGCGATATTCCACGAGGCAGAATGTTTCCAGAAATTATTGATCGATTTTTGTAGCAGAATTTCATGTGATTTTTATCACCTTAAAGGTGGCCAGCTTCATGATGTCAAAATAAAAAAAATCTGATGAATTTTGGTTTCGTATTCCAGACATTTTTTATAACGACGCATCATTTACTAGTCGTTTTGAAATCAGATGCTTAATTTTACATGCTTCTGAGCTTTTCCGAGTTGTATCCTAGAAGTTTACAGGTTGACGAATCAAATCGCTTCTGCTGTTTATGTCAACTGAAAATATTCACCCCTATTTTGGAGATCTTAACATACTGTAATTAAAAAGTCACAATATTACCCCTGTTAACTTATGATATATAAAAAGTTAAGTTTGCTGTGAATGGAAACTTGCATGATTTTGTTGATTTGTTCATATCAATTCAATACCTAAATTTGACAATCGTATATGATTTGTTTAATCTTCCAGGTTTTGATTTCAAAACAATGGCCGATCAAAATCAGTATTCATCAACCATAACCAAATTCACCACCCAACTCCACCTCTCCCAAGATCTCCGATCCCGTTATGGTTCATTCCAGAATCCCTCCACAAGACAATTCACATACGGAAACTACACAAACAATGGATTCGCAATCACAAACCCCTCCCCTGTTTTCATCCAAGCCCCATCAGAAAAAGGCTTCGCCGGATTCGCCATCGACTTCCTCATGGGCGGCGTTTCCGCCGCCGTTTCCAAAACCGCCGCCGCCCCAATCGAACGTGTCAAACTCCTGATCCAAAACCAAGACGAAATGATCAAAACCGGGCGTCTTTCTGAACCCTACAAAGGAATCGGAGAATGCTTTTCAAGAACAATCAATGAAGAAGGATTCGGTTCTTTATGGAGAGGAAACACAGCTAATGTCATTCGTTATTTCCCTACTCAAGCACTTAACTTTGCTTTTAAAGACTACTTCAAGAGGCTGTTTAACTTCAAGAAAGATCGCGATGGGTACTGGAAGTGGTTCGCCGGAAACCTTGGGTCTGGTGGTGCCGCCGGTGCCTCCTCCTTGTTGTTTGTCTACTCTTTGGATTATGCGAGGACTCGTTTGGCTAATGATGCGAAGGCTGCTAAGAAGGGTGGAGAGAGACAGTTTAATGGGTTGGTGGATGTTTACAAGAAGACTTTGGCTTCGGATGGAATTGCTGGGTTATATCGTGGGTTTAATATTTCGTGTGTTGGAATCATTGTTTATCGTGGGTTGTACTTCGGAATGTATGATTCCTTGAAACCGGTTCTTTTGACTGGAAATTTGCAGGATAGTTTCTTTGCTAGTTTTGGTCTCGGATGGCTGATCACTAATGGTGCTGGACTCGCATCATATCCAATTGACACAGTGAGAAGAAGAATGATGATGACGTCAGGTGAAGCTGTCAAGTACAAAAGCTCTCTGGACGCTTTCACTCAAATCCTGAAAAATGAAGGCGCCAAGTCACTCTTCAAGGGTGCTGGTGCCAACATTTTACGTGCGGTGGCTGGTGCTGGTGTTCTTGCTGGGTATGACAAACTTCAGGTTGTTGTGTTCGGAAAGAAGTATGGTTCCGGTGGTGCTTAATTTTTTTTTATTTTGAGTCAAATTTTGGGATTATATAAGTATAAAATGATGGCGAATCTTTTACTTGAGTCATGATAAATTGAGGATTTTGAAAAGGCGTTTTTGATAAATGCTAGCGAAGAATAAGTTTCGGATATAGAGGGATTTTGTTTTTCCCCCACAATATTTTTCAACTTTGAGGTTTTGTATTGTGAATTGTGGATGAATCGATTGTTTTTCGTTGTTTTCTGCATTTAAATCTTCAAACTTGTTATTTTCGTTATATTGTGTAGTATCATTTTTCTTGTCAAAACTAGGGCCATATTTTGTAAAAGCAATTACAATTTGAGATTTTTTTGTTTAGACAACTAAGGGAACTTTCCATGTATAAAATAAATGCCAATCTTCTTCATCGAGATTGAGTATTTTAAAAGAAAGAAACATCTTTGATGGCCCATTTATAGTAAATAAACTATGTTCTTGGGCCAAAAAATAAAAAAGACGATGTTCTTATTTAAAAGGGCTTCATTTAGGGGTGAGCATTTAGACCGGACCGGACCGGCGTTTGGACCAGACCGGTTATGGAGAATATTGTGGACCATGGACCGGACCGGATGAGTCGTGTCCGTGTCCGGGTCCGGGTCCAGGTCCGAGTTTTCCGGTTCTAGGACACGTTTGAACCGGTACAACTTTAATTGCATAGAGTACAAGTCGTTAAAATAAGTTTTTAGGTTTGATACGATACAACTTGTAAAAATGATTATGTTTCCGTTTCATGCATAACTAATCTACCTTGATGTTATAATATTATAAGTTGCAAAATTAATTTTCCAAATAAAATCAACTAACATATAAATCAAGTTCACCAAGATCAATTTCATATGATTTATCTATGAAAGATACATAAAATTCAGAATTATAGTATAAAATGATAGTTAAAAAGTTGAAATATTTCAGCTTTGATAGCTCAACTTTGAAAGATTGTAACTCACTGAATATAATATCAAAATCATAAAAATTATAATCTAAATTTTATCTACAAACTGTAAACTAAATGTTGGAAAAGACCTCCGGTCAATCCGACTTAAAACGAATGAGTTATGGTTGTTTAAAAAATTTCACATATTACAAAATTTTAAAAAACTTGCTGAAAAGCTGAAAATTTTCAGCTTTGATAGCTCAACTTTGAAAGACTATAACTCATTGAATATAATACCAAAATCAACAAAATTATAGTCTAATTTCATCTACAAACTGTAAATTAAACGTTGGAAAAAACCACGTGTCAATCCGACTTAAAATGAATGAGTTATG